ATTTAATTTCCCTTTGTTCCATATTTAGTTTGTTTTTACTGAGCAAGATCCAAAACTAATTACTAGTCAATAATCAACAAGATAAATACTAATTACCATAAACTAATATCAAACTGGTCAAACTATATGCTGAAGATAATGTGTGTTATGTTCGACAATCCTGCCTTGAGCTTAGTGGAATTTTCTCTTTGACAACATTTTGTGGTTAGCTACATTAACTATCCAAAATGTATTTTCATTAGTCCTGTAATTTAAGTATGCCCTCATTTCCCCACCCAGCACAGCATTTGCCCAACACTTCCAGTGACCTCATCGACAAAATCAATCTCCTCATCTACTGTATGACTGAAAGTATGCGCACGACGACGCCATGGCGTATACGTTACATTGAATTTTTTTCATTTCGCTTTAGCAAATTTTGCAAGAATTTGCAATTTATTTATCGATAATACGTGCTGAAATGTTGAATCATACATAAATGCGATGAGGAAGAGCAACTTTCAAGTAAAACTTTAATCATTTGTAATCTGTGTGGTACTTCCGAAGTAAATGAGCAACAAAGCAGAAAACAAAGTTATTTTAGTAACTGTAATAATCATGGATATTGCTGATGTTAGGTTGTTTGAGCAATCTTCAATTATGGTTCAATAGTTTTCAGCAAAATTTTACTGTGAAGCTTAGCAAAGCGAGTGGATGTGGTTTGTTGAATTCTACTGATGCTAATAAGGAAAACTGATAGGAAGAGAGGAAGAGGGAGAGGCAGGAGGGGAAAAATGATACTTGTAACGCAAATAAAATTTACCACTGGAGCATAGCAAATTACGAAGCTTTATTTATAAAAAAAAAAAGAATAAATATATATTAAAATCAGTTATGCACTAAAATTTTATGCTCTCGCCAAATACTTACTTGTCGGCTTTTCCCTTCTCTTATATCGCTCTGTTCTATAAATTGTTTGAAAAATATTTTTAAAATGTTTAACTACACTCGACCTTACCTTCCCCAATAAGGCGACTCTTCATTTTTTGCATATTTTTTAAACATACATACATACATATGCATATATACACAGTTGTGCTTTTACGTCCATTCGTTCGTTTTAGTTACATTCGCGAAAACTTTCTTTACAGCAATAAACTCGCCACAATTTAAGGTTTTTTATTTTCCGTAGTTTAGCCTTCGATAGTTTTTACTACCTTTTTTGTTTTCTCCATCCCCCGCACCCTTGCGGTGAGTACTCCCACCGCTGAATTTTTTTTTGTCAATTCCGGTTATTTTTCTGTTTGCTTATTTGTTTTTGTTGGATTTTAGTTTTATTGCAATATGTGCTCATCCAACTCTTGAGAAAAGTAAAAAAAAAGTTGAGTTAAAAGTTAAAATTAAAAAAATATAAAATAAAAATAAAACAAAACAAGATGAAACAAAACTTTAAAATAAAAAGTAAATTAAATAAATATTTTAAAAAATAATTAAAAAGAAAATATTAAAAAAAAATGTAAAAAAATAAAGAAATATAAAAATAAATAAAGAAATATAAATAAATATTGGATGAGTGCGTAAGTTCGTGCCCGATTCCGCTGGATGCCGTTCGAATCGTTTGAGAGTGGCGCTCGTGAAAGAAATATATACATATTATATATCGTTGGAAAGGTGACAGTNTAGTTTGCACTTGAAATCGGGCACGAACTTATGCACTCATCCAATATAAAAAATTTAAAAAAATTAAAAAAAAGTTATTCAAAAAAAAAAAAAAAATTAGAAAGGAAAAATAAAATAAAATAAAAAAATTTAAAATGAGAAAAATATAGTAAATTAAATTAAAAGGAAAGAAAAACAAATAATATATATATATATATATATATATATATGGATTGGTGATCCATCATTATTTTCCATTCAAACTGTAGTTTTCTTGTTTTCGATCAGATTGCCAGCGGTTTATGCAGTTAGTCGTGGGTCATCCCCTTTCGATGCTCTTGTTTGTTTGTATGGCTAGCAGAAGCCGAAAAGTTTATTACCGCGCCGTATGATGAACTGTAACGAAACTTGTTTAACAGTAGTTTCATTAATTGCTTTGGCCTCGGTGCATCATTTGTGCAGGTTTTACTTTCGCTATCTATCCGCAAATTAGTCCAGTTAGTGTTGGATTCGTGCTCCTATTACCTTAACCAATGCACATTTCAAACTCTGCTTTTTTATGCGAACTTTCTCCAACATAAATAAGTCATTTTGTGGGTTTCGTTCTTTCTCATTACCAGTAATTTTGTGCTGGTTTTCCTCAAGTTTTTGCCGTTTCGGCTTTTGCGCGCTTCCACTCAAATTACTTCCGGTTGTGTAGCGCGTAATTATGTAGCCACATCGTTTATTTTAATTTGTTGTGTTTGTTTTTGCTGTGTTTCTTTTTTAGTTTTCGACTTGTTTTGTTTTGCTTTTTAGATAATGATGAGTTCTTTCGTTTAAAGAAAAGTGTTTAAAAATTTAGTGTAGTTTATTTGCATGAACAGTTTTCCACTTGAATTGCGTACCTCTGATTTTGAGTTTTTAGTCAAACTTTTTGACTTTGTTTTTATTTTTTAAATTTTTAACTTAAATATTTAGAGTCCATTTTTATTAATAATCGTTGCGCAAGTTTTGAATTCTGTTTTTTTTTTACTTTTAATTCTTTTGGTTTTTTTTTTGCTCATTTCTACAGCACTTTAATACCAACTTTAGGTGACTACGACTTTCCGTTGCTCATTCAACACTTTTTTTGTAGCACAAAAATGCAAAGTATAAAAAAAATTTATGGTTTATCCACTTATGTGGCTTTTATGCGCGTTTTTATTGTTATTTGCGCGCTTTAGACTATTTATTTATGGTTTTTTAATCACTTATTGTTTGCCTTCAGTTTTTCCACTTTCATACTCACTGCACTTGCTGGCACAGTTAAAAATATAATTTTTTTTTTTGTTTTCTCAAATACTCTCTTCATACAAAGCGCTATAAATATTTACATACATATTCGATGTACATATGTACTTATACGTATATACTCGTATTGTACGCAGTGTATTTATATGCTTTCAATACTGGTGAATATATTATAAATAGGTCCTTGCAGCCACTAACTTTCGAGGACGTGAGTTAAGTGGGCCAGCGGTGCCTCGAACACTTCTCATTAAACCACTCTTTCCGCAAGTTTAGCGTGTGGCGCTTTTCGTGTTAACCCAATTTACACACTTTTTATGTTGTTGTTATTGTTGCTATCGTTGTGTATTTGTTTTTGTTGTTTTTTTTTTGTTTTTTTTTGATGTCGCAATATTTACAATTTCTATTAGGTTTTATACTTGAAACGGAGCGCTCAACAACATTGAACTAAACAAGTGCCGTTGGCCGTGTTGTTGTTGCATTTGTTTTACACGTACACTAACAACAAATGCATTTTTTATTGTATTTTATTGTTTAAAACAGTTTCTTATGAAGCACCTACAGCAACAGCAGAATTTCGAACAACTTTTCGTGTTTCTTTTCGTTAACAGAAGAAAAGAATCAAAATAAAATTGGAAACCATAAATTTATGTAGTGTAGTGTTTCTATTGTTTGGCAAAAATTTTCTTTGTTTTTCCCATCTGGCCTTTTAATCTTTTGATGACCTTTTTCGCTGGTCTTGAAGTCTCTACTTTTCGGTATTGTTTGTTCGCAAATTTCAATTGTTCGAAACAGTTCTGAAGAGTTTAGAGGGTTTTTTTTTTTGTTTTCATTCTCTTTCATTCCCGCTTTTTTCGCACTATTACAATTCAGTATTGATTATAGTTTTCAGTGTGTTTGCACTTGATTTTGCTTTACGGAGCTGTCACACAAAACGCTCTTGAAATTTTTAAGGATTCTGTTCTTCTGTTTTTTATTGTTGGCTTAGAGTACCTGTTTGTTTGTGAATCTTGGTGATGGAGGGAACACATTTGTGGGGTTCACTTGCCCATTTAGCGGCAATATTTTAGAATATTTTTTTTTTCAAAAATTAAAATTTTGGCTTTAGAAAAATTATTTTTACGCAAACTGAAACTGGAAATCAGACTGTCTCTTCCCTGTACATCTCATTACTGAACAGGCCGGGGAAAAATCTTATCGAAATCAATGGAAATCTTTGCAATAAACCTTTAAGGAATCGAAGTTTTTGTACTTCTAAATTAGTGTTAAAGTTTTCTGTTGACCGCAACAATCGAGAGAAATGCGTCTAACATCCAAAACTACAGAAAATTACTTTTTCGAATTGAGACCACCTCCCAGCATAATAAGGCAATAAGCTGTGAAGCCCATGTAGCTCCCAAAGATTAAATAACCCCTCGTTTATGAAGCCTTTAAGCCCCTTTCGTTTCAGAGGCTTTTCTTCAACTGTGAAAAATTTCCATCTTTTCTTGAAGTGAATTAAGAGATAAAAAGAAGTGAAAGAAAGGTAAACCCCTCCATTGAGCAGATGGACGAGCATGTGGCAGCCCATAAGCCACAAGCTGTGTAATGTACAATTGTAAAATAGTTTGTAGTATGCATGGTTAATGAAAACCGGGTTCGATATGAATAGAAGAAGAGTCGAGCGGGAGCCTTTGAAACGCTAGCTAGCAGTCGGGATGGGGGGGATTCTTGACACTTCAACTTCCACTATTTGCACATAAGCACATAAACGATTATTATAGACTCCCTTGTTTCACAACAAAATAAATAAATAGAATACAACATCTGCTCTAAGATTAAATGGACCAAGGCCAATCATACAAACAAAAGAAAATCCCCTGTATGATCGGGACATACTGTGAAGAAAACTAAAGAACAAAAAAAAACAAAGCTACTCGATCAACTGGTTAGCAGAAGAAATATACAATTATATCTTAAAGGCGTTATTAAGATGTGCGCTTCTTTAACCCACCCTACCTTGACTTTGCGATGCGCGAAAATAGTATGCAAAGTCCCTAATCTTCTACTTAACCATATTCCACCATATCACAGTAAAATTCTTAATTTAAGAATTCATATTTGAAATTTAAAAATTTATTCACATTCTTAATATTATGTACAAAATGGAGATAAAATATAGGAAAATTCAAAGTAGACTACTTCAATAAAACATCTTAAAAATATACATTTTGAGCTTTAGATTACTAGAAAAGAAAACTAATTTATGCAAATGTACTGTTTCAAAATAACACAAAAAACAATAACATGGGTAATGTTAAAGAAAACTAATAAAAAAAAATAACTAGAAATTCAGTACAGGTGAAATTTACTTAAGATGCATGGCAACCATAGGCACTCTCTGTAATTTGCAAATCAGTTGTGCTCTTACATATTTACTCTACCCGCTCCTTCACAGATGAGGTGAGCCGGTGTAGCTAAACTAAAAGATCAGCCGATCGGTGAGCATCCTCTGCTGCGAATAAGCAAGCAGGAGAGTCAATGAATGTAATTACTGTAAGGTAATAAAATTCAATTCTCTCATACAAAAGATTAATACAAAACGTATATGAAAAAAAATTGGTATAATAATTCGTATAAATATTATAGAAGTGCACTTACATTTTCCACTTATGGCATGATGATCGTCGAAGGCCTTCACGAAGATCAGCAATAATGTTGAAGCAGCTAATTAAATGATCATTACAATGTTATGAAATATGTACATATGTATGAGAAACTGCATACCCTGAATGCATTAAGTTGCCATACACGTGTGTTTTCTTTTTCTATAGCATAATTAAATTAGTATTATTATTATTGAAATATTCTTAATCTCTTTACCAAGCTTTAATTATAAAAAAACTTATATTTAAATAATACGTGTACGTTACACATCTATAACTTCATTTACTGTACTTTTTACGTTTTAAAGGATAATTCACATATTATAATTTTCTTTGAATTAATACTATTAGTCAAATATTCACTACACGCTCATAAATTTTTGGCATAAATAGCCAATTAATCAAGACGAAAGTTATTTTTCTTATTAATTTAGGCCATACTTCTGCCTTAATCTTCAAAGAGGACAATATTGCAACTGTAGTTGTCCAGAAAGTTGTATTATTGTATTAAATGGAGATCACCAAGTATTTTAACGAGGTGTCTGACCATTTTCACACGTAATAGATGAATTTCTCCGAATCCACGATGAAATGTTGCAACAGTATGGATTCTGAAGAGCTTTATAGAGCTGGTGATGAAATGCAAAGGCCAGATTCGCTGAGCGTGGCGAACCAAGTTGAGCGTTCCACGTGGTCCTGGTAAGATGATGGTGTAACTCACTTTTAGACACCAAATAGTCTTCGATCTGTTTTATAAAATGGTGATGCTTCCACTTCGAGAGTTAAATAGAAAAGGCCTCTCGTAATCTTTGCAAAATATTATAATGCTTCTGCTTGATATATAGATAAAATGAACTCAGTTGAGAGATGAACCCCAGTGTTGCATTTTTTTGGGAGTTATCATGAAATTTCTCTGTATTATCAGATCACGATAGTTGGTTAAATTTTAGTAAAAAAAATTTTTAAAATGTTCACTACAGCTGCAACAGCATTTGCCCAGCTGTCCAAAACCCACTGTGGTCGCACCAATCGTGCGTGCACCATTGATTAACGCACGCTTATAGCTTATCACGTTGTTGTAATGAAGTTGTTGGGAAGTACGCCTGACTTCACTCACAATAAATGTTGCGTATACGACCTGTCGCAGCAATCCGAGTGAGCGGTCATTTACTCGTAGCGAAAGTATATGTGTATGTATATGTTTATGTCGGGGGTACTTACACGCTTATGCATGTGCTTAAGTTAATTTGAACAAATGAAAGCAGCAACAGTGATTTACAACAGCAACATCGAAAGGCAGTATTTACATATAAATAAATATTTCTGTGCAGATATATTTTCGCAATGAAAATTATTGTTGCTATTTTTTTTTTGGTCACATTGTATGTTGTGTTGCGTTAAATCAACTGTGAAACGGAAATTCAGAATGCATACTACTCCTGCACACACATACATTCTCTCAAATGTAAATGAATACGCTCTCAGTTTGCCTGATTGTCATTGCAGAGTTGTTGCTCCACCATCAACATCGTCGTCATGATAATCGTTTGTTATTGCCATTGTAGGCAATCGCTCACGTTTACAAGCCTGTTGATGATGATGCCACAACAGACATAAAAACGGACATACATACATATATACGGTGCAAACATGTTGCCGCATATGCTCTTACAGGCCGCTGCTTACTTGCTCTAGGTAATCGAAAAATATTGCTACAACAACAATAGCAACAGCAGTAGCAACAGTAATGAAAAACCTTTAGGCAACAAAAACCAGCAAAATGTCAACGCATGGTCTAGTCTACACTTACTTACGACACACACACACACAAACACAAACATACAACCGTGCAGCGCAACATAATTGCTGTGATGCGTTAACAATTTGTGTATCTTTGTTTGCTTGCGACAACTGCCCGAATTCTAGTCTGAAGCGCGCCAGTGACACGCATCATTCCTCATATATTTGGCTGCTGCAGAGCGCATGTGCATTAGGATGGCTCAAAGCTGTTGGGCATAAAAATAAATGCAAAAGTTAATAAAAAATTAATTTAATTAATTAAATACATTTCAAAAAATAGTAATCAAAAAGGAATTTAAAAAAATCACAAAATAAGAAATTTAATGAAAACAATCAAATAATTAAAAAAAAAACCTACATAAATAAAATAAATGGCAGGTCGTTGAGTCATTTTCCTTAGAGCTAAAAATATTGAAAGTTTTTAGGTTCCAAAATATTTTTAATTTTCCCTTTTGTCTACTCGTTCCGCGAGTGGAATGAAAATATTATTGATTTCTGTTCACCCTATTATGTGCATACACGTACATATGTATGTGTCTTGAGTGTGCGGCATGTGTATCATGCGGTTTTCGCTGCCAGCTGTCGCCTATCGTCTATTATTGTTATTTTAGCTCCTCTTTTTTCAACTCGCCATACTGATATTATTATTTGCCACACAAATACATACACGTATGTACATTCATTCTGGGTATTATGTTGCATGTCCCAATTTTTTATGGCATTTGTTAGCTTAAACATGCGCTATGCATACCGTACTTGTATGCGTGTATGCATGTATGTAAGTCGAAGTTTGACTTTTTCAAGTGTTATTGTTGTTGTTGTTGTAGCTGTGGTGGGTATGTGCGTTGGTTTGGTAAATTACATAGATTTAATTTTCAAGCACAGCATGAAGGTTGCTCTCACAGCAGATTTTTTCCATCCTCATTTGTTCACACCCGTTTCTCCTTTGTCTTCTCGCTGCTGTCTACGCATGCATTTTGAATATTAATTTTAAGTGTCATGTTTTCGTAAACTGTTCATTGCTTCTTATACTAAACACCCGACAGCAAGGCTGTGCGTGGCGTTGCTGTCTTTATTTTAGCTCAGAATTCTCACTGCGTCTACGCTCCTTTTGTGTTTTCCCCTGCTGGGGCTCTTTGGCTTTTCCTGCCTTCTTTATACTTGGCCTTATGCCTTCCCGTTTGCCATTGCTCTGAAGTGTAATGATGTAGAAAAACTGTGTTGCTATGACCTAAAAACCTCAAATAAGTAAAATGCATCCATTAGTGTTGATGAAAGTTAGTTCAAAGTCGAAGAGATTTTTAACGACCAAAGAAATATAGCATATTTTCCAGAGATTTCATATTTTGCGTGATTTGCTCTTTATTTCGTTAGTTTGGCTATAAACTGCTCGAAAATTATGTTTCTACATGTTGAAGAGTTTGAATTCAATGAAGAAAGTAATAAATCAAAGTAACTATGAAATAGGATGTAAATGAAGTTAATTTCAAAGTTCTAGGAGGGGAAACGGAAAAGTTACTCCAACATGAATGGCTCGAATGGTTGAAAAATTAAGATAATATAACTTTCTGCAACTGACAGGAAAGTTTGGAAATCGTTACCCATCATATCAACCTTAATAACTTCACACATTTTGCACTCTAAGCTCCCTTTGAAGTTGACTTTATTATCCAACTTAAAAATTTTCTCTCTTCCTCTATGTAAATATGCAGTAGCACGTCAGACAAAAGCAACAAAAAGTTGAAAATAAATATCAGTTTTTATTCGTATTCGCTTTCGCACCATCGCACCATCACCAACTCCCCCAGGCCCAGGCCCTCTGCTCAGCGACTGATAATTGCATTAGTTAAGTTGTTTATCGGCAACAACTTGTAATTAAATAACTGGCAATCGAATGAGATCAACTGAAGCGGATATTTTTTCTCACATTTTCACACTTTGCCATTGGCAGGCAAAAAGCATATACATATATACGTGTACATAGAAATGTGCTTACGATAGCAATGTATCGGTATATAAATGGTATATAAATACGTTGCTGCTTCTCGCTACGTCATAGCTCACCTTGGCATGGCTTGCCACGGTAGTTTTTGACGATATGACGTAGTCACTAACACGTTGAATGCAAAGAGTAACGGTTTGTGTGAGCATTTCTAACATAGCAAGGATAATAGATTGTTTTGCAAATCCTTTAATTTCGCCTTAAAGGGTTTTAAAATGCTCAATGAGCGTTGAGTGCTGCGAGATCTCAAAACAAAATTAATTTCCTTTTAATCCCTTAAAAATTTATCAATAGCTTCCAATCTTGTCAGCAATGGTTGACCAGCATTTGGCGCTCTTCCGTACTCTCTTTAACTACGTTGCTATTATTTTTAATGTAATTTGATTTTTTTTTTGCTTTTTTCACTTTTGTTTATTTAATTCACTTTATTTTTATTTATTTTCGTGTTTTATTCTATTCCTTTTTCCTATTTACCTTATTTAACATTGTTTCCCCTAAATAAATATAGACTTCTTTTTATAAGAACGGAGCACTCTTTGTCAATTACAACATTATTTACTGACACATATACTTATTCATATCGCCTAAAGAAAATTTAAACAAAATTGGCTCTCGGGCCTGCCTTCATTTTCTCTTCACACTATCCACTCGAATTCGAGAGGCAGATATATTTATTTTCAAACAAACAAACTTTTGGCTGAATTCATGTGCTTGCATTTGTCATATTCTATTCTTTCGAGGGAGTGTTTTGAATTACGAAGGACAATCAGCTCCGCAATACACCATACACTCACACATACGTGCACATACGCATATTTCGGCATTCCGCTACTCTACGTTGCTACTAACCTTGTACTGCATTTTCAGTTGCATTGTGTATGCAAACATTTTCTTGCTGCTCAATTCCTTGTTGTGACGTAGTCACTAAACTGGCGAGTGTGCTAAATGGCCTTGCATACTTTTTGGCGCCTACCATCCTTGTGAAGAGTATGACAAAGAGAGACTTTCAACATTCGCTCTCTTGCTGAGTGTGAGTTTTTGCTTTTTGAATGTTTCATTTCCTCTCGAAACCTGTTAAAGGCGAGTAAAAAACGAGTGAGTGGCTCAAGTGAATGCCAGAATTGAGTGAAACTATTGGGTTGGTCTGTAACCCAGTAGTGGAATGTATTTTTGGTATTGATTTTAGTGCAAAACTGCAACTAGTTAATTTCGTTGTGTTTCACACCAATTTCCGCACTGCTTAGACTTTTCTAGCCTGCGACTACTGACTTACGAAGGAGCATAACTAAGGTTTGGGGAGTGTCAGAAATGATTATATGAGATTTTCTGCTTTTGTTTGGTGAATGTGCATTTGAGTTTTGTCTTCGACATTTTCGTACATACATACGTACATGTAAATTGCAAACTACACACCTACATAAATCGAGTGAGAATTCATGCTTTGGACTACAATGACGCTTATTGTTACGCTACTTTGTTGTAATCCTTTATAATATTTTCTGAGTGATGCAATGCTCATACGAGACGCTTGCCTGCATTCGTTAATATTCAGTGCTCTCGATGCTTTTGCCCACTTTGTGCCTTTTCGTTTACATATTTATTATTTGCATTTGCTTTTGTGCCCTCTGTTCAGTATTTTCTCTTTTATTTTTTCACTTTGTTATCTTCTTTTACGCACGCGTTTTTTTCGAGCTACATGCTTTGCAAATAAGTTTGTATGGTCCCTTAGATGTGTGAGTCCTGTGGTCCATATGGTTCATTGGAGTACCTACACATATGCTCCTGAATAGTGTGCTACTGGACTAATTCTTGGTATCTCAGCCAGCTTATTGCGGCACGAGCATTCTTCGTGTTTTACCGAGCGCAATCACTGCAAGAAGCTGCAAGCCCATTAAATTTAATATACAGAAAATGTGTAGGAATGAAACCGAATCAGTTTAGTTTCGATTCCTTGGTGAGCTCTGTTGGTACACAGAAGGCGTGTAGAAGCTTGCGTAAATATAGATTACGTACGGACATAAATTCTCGTTGCTTGATAATGCAATGCCTTATAGGTCCGCACAGATAAACTAATTTACTATGCAGAGGGTTACAGTCCCAGGACATTGCAAAGGTAATTAGACCAATTAGGACTACTCTGTCGCGTCCGCGAGGAGTACAT